GTATATATAGAGTATGAGGTTTTATAATCATAGCTATTCCAATGTGCGAGAATGTATTGCCCTTCATCAATTTGTAGCCTCCTCGAAAAAGAGCTCTGTACTGAATAATAAAGACTAGGTGTTTTGCATCCAGCATTATGTCTGGTACTTTAACAAGCTTAATATTTAATGCAAGAGGCAATAGTACACACTCCAAGAGGCTACATATTCCATATGCATACCACATACACACGGGCGCACATAAAGTTATTGGCGTGCACGAGTGGTTACAAACAGAATGGGTCGAAACATACCGATGAGGACTATTTTGAACAAGTAATCGTAGGTATCATTATCTATGTCGTTTGTGGGCTTCTCCTCAGTTTCTGCCGCAGGAGCGGTGTCGTCATTGTTAGACATTTTATTATCGAGTAATTTTCTACGTTCAAGCACAACACTATTGCCTTGGAAGGTTATGGATGTCTATTTACTTCAAATCTGGAGGATATGTAATTAAGTACAAAACACATCTAAAATTGTATTCATTTTTATAATGTTCACTTTGTATTGGTGTGATTCGATCAAATGAACTTTGAAATTGTTGGGAAATGGAAATAGTCTATGCACCCACAGGAGGCCACAGCCATATAAACTTGTAGGGGCTAAAAATATTTTAGTATTAAACCTTAACGTGTCGAAATAAGCTTTCCTTTATTATTATTTTGTCACAAACGAAGTTTTATTTTGGTATGCATTTTTTATATATAAAATCAACATATGTTTTTAAAAATGAAGGCTATGAAAAAACAAAATCTATATAATAATAGGAGGTGCTGCTGCTGTTTTCAGGTTTCTTGGGCTGCAACTTCAAGTTGCAACTTGCAAAATATTGTAAAAACAATACATAGAACATATAAATAATATACAGCAACCCACTGAACTGACTAATATCTTCGTCTGTTCCTTGCGGACGTGCAGTGAGCGGTGGAAAGAAGTTATACTATCTGTACAAATATTACTACTGCTTGTACTGTGATATGCTGAATAGGGTGCATGTAGCGGGGGAACTTGGGGTTCTCGGAAGTGAGAAATGGCAGTCACGTGTATTACTTTGTCAGGGGTTTAGAATTCAATACCTTTTACCTTTGTACCAAGTTAACCGCTTGGAAAATTCTCGCGCGGAAGAGTGAGCATGAACAGTATGCAAACGTTTGCTTATTGCATTTGAATTCCTGACGAAATTAATTGAGAAGTATATCTTTTCTCGCCCATGTTGCTGTAGTGTAAGATTCGCTCACGAGGTTTGCTATCGTATCTGTATCTATAAAAGCTAGACTATAGGGTCTGTGTATGGAAGCTAAATTTATATATGGCTGCGATACGTCGAGTGTAGGAAAAATTTGACAAGAAGCAATGAGTGGGCTGAAGATTTTTTTATGTTCAATCAGTCTATCAACTAAGGCGGTTCAATGTTTGCCTTCGAATATTATATATTTGTCAAATTTTGATGATGCTTTTTAATAATTTCGTCCGGGTCTCCTATAGGAGACTACACTTAATAGCTTGATATGCTATTAAAAAGTCGATAAATATCCCCAGTTACTTTGTATATTTTAATAACTTGATGTGCTTTTTTTAATAAAAAAAGTCGTATCCCCAGTTAAAATAATTGTTTAAAAACAAAATGATTTTTTTTTAAATATATATTTAGACCGTGCACCAATGCAGCCTTGTTTACACGAGATCTAAATTAAATTTGGGCGCCCAGATTTCAGATTTGGGCCCTATGTACCAAGAAGTTCGGACCGGAGTGGATAAATTCAAAAATCATGGCCCTCTGGATCAGGGTCGCGAGCAGAAATCAGGTTTCTTTCGACGACATCGTAATTGAGCAGAGACCCAAATCTAGAGGGCCATGCAAAAATTGCACCGGATCGCGCATGAAGTGATTGAAGTCTTAGCCCAGAAGGTAGAAAGGCGAACTCGAGATGATTCTTCCTTGCAACCAATAATATTATAAGGAACTCAAGATAACATTTTTATTGGTCAATAATTTCGTCCGCCAAGATCCCTTCTGGGGGGTTGAAAACACTGAAACCCTACATAAAAGAAGCAGAAACAGTGTTGATGAGCAAGAGATAAGACAGAAATTTGGGGATAGGATATTTACTCTACAAGATATATTTCAAATTATGGATCCAAATATTAGTTATATTTTTAATTATAGGTTGGTCCAAATTGAACAACATAGAGTATTTGGCTCCTCCATCAGGATGTAAATTTAGTAAGAGCCGAAAAATTTAAAATCAATACTTCAAATATGAAATAGGCATAGAATTCGGGTTTTATGTATATTGCGGTTACTATTATAATAGTCCTACAAATGAACTTACTATTGTGGATGTCTGTTGATTTTTAAAACATAGGATCGCACACATAGGGTGAAACCACGTCCCGTCTCCACAATACGGTTTTAGGGTGGATTGAGCCTCTAGTAATCTAGTTGATTGATAGTTCGCTTCAGAGCAACTTGTAAAGCTCTCAGCAGAAAGCGTCTATACTATCTCGAGCGCTAGTCACATGCGCGCACTCACAGCAATTTACATAACAACCGAGTTATATAGAACTTCACATGCATGTTGGGATAAACATCTCAGCGTAGTTTCATTAATGTCAGGATAACTCTCAATCTAGTACTTCAAATCCGCCATCGTTACAGAAGCGATACAGCACTAGGGGTTGGTATCATTCTATACAAATAACTGAGCATTCGAATCGAAACAAATAACATGTCGGAATCACTTCACGATCATCTGGTATCAGAATTTGAGACTGCTTGGGAGAGCGAGAGCGAGAAGGATGTCTCGCTAAAAACGCTTCAATTGCTCCTAGGTATATATTTTATGTAACGATGTGACTAATTTGTAGGATTAAATATATGTACGTGCTTGAAAATAGGTCAAATCTGAAAAGTACACGAAAAGTGTGTATGAATATACATATATATATACATACAT